AAATGAACATAAATCGGCTACAGAAAATTAACGAATCCGTTTTAGCTGAACATAAGGACAATTCTTATAATAAATGCGAACTGACTGTAAAAAAAAAATCAATAGAAATACTTAAAATTCTAAGTTAACTTTAACATAGATTCTGGTCCAAAGGTTGCAGAAATATATTTTAAGACAAAAATATAAATAGGTGGCTGCAGCTTCTATATTAATTGTTGGGTAAAGAAGTTTCGCATTACGCAAGATATGAAAATGTATATAAACATGGGAACAGTGATTCAATGTTGTCTCTTCCTGATAATGATAGGCCTGTGACTCATTGAAACATCTAGAAGCGTTTAGATAAGGTCTGATACCTTTAATGGAGGGTTTGTTTCAAACATTGTGTTATTTAAGTTTTATTACCAATATTCTATTTATTGTAAGATACTGGTATTCATTCAGTTTCTTATCATTTTGTATATTCATAAACATTAGTTTTTGGCTGTACTATAGGTACTTGGCTATACATCTAAACAGTAATATGTATCGAAGAAATTTAGCTCGGATGTCAGGATCCTCTAAAGCTACAGTGTCGGAGTCATTTAATGGGCTTTCATTGGTTACAAGTTGTTAGGGAGGGTTGTAGAATGTTTTGCTTATAAATGGTTATACCGATATTACATTGCTCAACGAACATTAAATATACGACAGCATTTGAAGCTAACACCTATAAAATGTATACTGTAATATCTATTTATCGTTAACATTATTGGTTAGAATCTTTAATATATCTTGTTTTATTACTTTAATTTTTCATTATTTTAATTTTATTATAGAGATTATGTTGCATTCTTAGCTTAGTATATGGTTTTGGACTAACCTAAATTTCCCTAACCTTCTGAGGTATTATTGGGTTTACGGCCGAATATACCGTTAATAGCGAGAGTAATAATCAACTGATGAAACAGTGCATTCTAATCTACACTAGCCTTGTTTGAACCATAAAAAAATGACGGTTTGAAGTTTGGTGTAACCCCACTCCCAGAGGAACCCCGCATTTCCTTCAGCGAGCTTTCTCCACCAAACTTCCCCTTCATCATAAAACAAAAAACAATCACACATTGAGGAAGTAAGAACAAATTTCAAGTACACTCTAAAAATCAATACGAATGGTGCAAACTTAAATAAAACATGGCTCATAATATGAGTGCTACACACACAAAATAACAACTGGCTTTTATATATATTATATTTTCATCAGCAGAAAAATGTTGTAGCATGCAGTGGCGTAAGTATGCCTGAAGGGCCTGGCAAACTTAAGAACTGCCGACAAGGGGGAGAGACACACAATTTAATTTGTTTGAACTAAAGGAACATTGCACTAATCTGTTAACTTAATGATATTAATCAGCCAGAAACGTAATTACAATTATAGGAAAATAAATGTAGGAGGCCCAATTAATTTTTTTATGCAGGAGGGGGGGGGGGCATCTTCACCAGTTACGCCTCTGGTATCACACCAAAGTTGATGAAGTATACTAGATTTATCTATTTCACGAAGTTGTCTTACTCGAGTGGCTCTGTGGCAAGTGGAAGACGATATTTTACACTTAGCAAAACGTATTTTTATAATTACGATATATTACCTAAAAATTACTGTTTAAATGCCGAAAGAAGTTGAAACACTCAAAACCAGTAGGCTTAAGGTTAGTGATAAAAAAATCCTATCACAGAGTTCACATCTAAAATTAATTTTAAGAGAGAAAAAGATGTTTTATCCAAAAAGTAATAATAAAACTGAAAACTTCACAAAAACCCAATAAAAACATACGAATTATAGACACTAATCTCTACCTTAAATGTTTTTAAAACTTACCAAGAACTTTAAAATGTGTTACGTCGAGCTAAGCATATGCATAAACTAAAACGATCTAAAAAAGTGGAATTTAAGCCAGCCCTCGTGCACGTTCGAAGTATTATATATATATTTTTATATACTTAAGCTAACAATATCAAGTCATAGTTTTGTTGCTAAGCGACACAGACGAACCAAGCGTTGCCAAAAGACATGTGGCTTTTATATATATTAGTCTAGTGGATGTACCTGTTCATCGCACAGGGAAGACATGGGGCCAGAACTTTCTCTAATCATGATGACTTATTAATAAAATTACATATACATATAATCCCAACTGTACTGGCATAAGTAAGAACGTAGTAAAATATGGTTAATTAGTTATACCTTTTACCAGTTATATTTCTAATCTCAATAGGTAACAAATATTTCGTTATTCCTTGAACTTCGCGTGAAGCTGATTGAAGGCTATATGCTCTAGCCATCCCTAATTTAGAAGCGGTAGACTGGAGGGAAGACAGATAGTCAACTTTTGGGCTACTATTTGTTAACGAAAAGTGGGATTAACAGTAACATTATAATGCCCCCACTGCTAAAAAGGGTGAGCATGTTCGGCGATGGGATCAGAACCCGCGACCCGTAAATTAGATCTACAACACCTATTTCAAAATCATTTCAGAACTACACACACACTGTCAACTATTTAATTTTGCTTTTATCTGGAATTTTTGTTCAAGATTATTGAAAAAGTTGTAGCTCTTAGCTTTTCAGTCAAAGTATCATTAAAACATGGTGCAATACCTCGTCTAGTGACATTGGTTACTTTCAATTTACCCAACTTCAACGTATCCATTACTGTACTTAGCTTTACTAAGACTTTCCAATTTGTTTACAACGGAATATGGAAGGTACTTAGCTTTAACAAGGCTTTCCAATTTGTTTACAACGGAATATGGAAGGTACTTAGCTTTAACAAGGCTTTCCAATTTGTTTACAACGGAATACGGAAGGCCATTTTGTACTATGCCAGGATCTGTGTTTTCACTTGAACCACTTTGCCTTCATTACTTTCATATACACCTAGTACAAAATTCAATATGCTTCTTGTTTTAACTCGTTCTTTCAAATATAAATCATATTCTTGAGATGTTTAGTCCTATATGCATGCCTCTTATGTACAGCGGTATTAGGGAAGGCGAAAAAGCAGTCGTATTTGTTCTTGATAGTATTATTATATTTTAAAAACGTCCTCTCCTTCCTTTGTATTTTCCATTTTGCAACTGCACTAAATGATGAGTCTTCGGGGTCAACATAATCAATCTGAAAAATAGTCATTAGTAAATATTCCAGATTTCAGCGTTACACGAAAAACTCAGTCAAACATTTTATCTTAATATTAGTGTTTGAGTTGGCTTTAAAGGACTGCTCTTGTCTGTCTCCAGAATGAAACGACTTTCGACTTCTATGTTGTGACCTTCTTCAGAAGAACACCTGCTATATAAACAGACAGGAGCAGTTTATTAAAGCCAAACTCTGCCATGTCCATATTGCCTAAAATACCTTTGAAAATATATCTAAATACTACTTTATTGTTATTTTTGTTAATTTAACAGTATAAACTTTTCACAGATTTCTGTTACAAAGGAGCAATAGGAGAAGTAAACACACAAAAGAAAAACTTATTAAACATATATAAAAAATAATGTTAGTTAGTATAAGGTATCTAAAGGTATTGTAATTATCCTGGTATCCCATGTCATTACTACTTTTGTTGAAGCTTTATGTGTGACTAACTGCTAGTTAATTTCACAGTCCTTATAATGGTTTAGTACAAGCTAGTTTATTCAAGAATTCCACAGAAACAACCCCTAACTTTTTTACAGGAACCTAACACTGTTAAACTATGACTTGTAAATGTCTAGTTATATACGACTACAATTCACGTTACACAAAATAACTCGCACTTACAATATACTTTGTTAACATTTCTCCAGGAAGATCTCCAAACTCTCTGTATTGTACTTCTACTACTAAACTATACTGAGTATCATCTTACTTTGACTAACAAAACCTATACATACTTTTCACGATTATTATTCCAATACGATATAGCCCTTATAACGTAAAAGTTTAGTAATCAACACTCTCAAATGATAGAACCGGTTCTTAACTTTTTTTTTAACAAACTATAAATTTTCAGTTATGAACCCTCTTCAGGTGCTGGATTAACAGAAACTGTATACGAATTGATAAAATACAAGTGCGTGACGATAATAGAATATAGATGAGAAAGTACTGTCAAAATCATTGTTGGTTAGTAAGGACAGATGTAAGTTATATATTAAAATTGTAAAAAAAGGTTTTAATTATATACAGAAAAGATGTATTATTTTACCCAAATTCAAAATCACGGCAGCAACAAGTAAAAAAAACAAATATATATATAAACATGTATATTTAAAGCATCACCAGGTATGAATCATCGTTTGTTTTCATTTAGGTTTTTGGTTGGTTGGTGGCGCTTTTGCAGCTTTAAGCCTGCTCTTTATAGCGTTAGTTGTCAATAGGTAGTCGGTCTTGCCTTCTTTTAGGTGCTAGTGAAACTTCGTATGGACACAAGCGCGTTGTAACAACAAAATGTAGATGAGAGCGTGTTGTTAAAAACATTTCTTCCAGAGAGGAGGGCTGCTATGGTGTATCAAAAATTCGTAATAACATTGAATATCAAAAGACTAAATTACTGTTTGATTTTTTTTAAAAGATTTTGCAATCTTCGAAATGAAGCTTTTTTATTGTTAAGAAAACTGACTTTATTGTTGTATGCCAAAATATCCATTAATGTATGAAGGCTTGATATTTACAATAAATGTTCATATTACTTTGAAATTTTGTTTTTCTTATACTTAGAATATTGTTTCTGTTATCAAGAATAAAAAATATAAGTTAACAGTTATAAATTTCCATTTCTTTTTTGCAGAAAAAGTTTAGTTCGGTTACTTCCTAAAATTATTCAACTCATAAAATTCAAAGTTGTTTTGTGAAAATGCTACTTTTAATAATCCTTCTATTATGAAGGTCAACAACGGTATCAAACGTTATATCACTAACAATCAAATGAGTTAAGACTTTTGCGGGTTTTGTAAAAATAATAATCACCTCCAAATTGATTTTTTTCTGTCAGAAAGTTTAATTCAGCTATTACTTACAAGAAATATATTTAGTTCATTAAATAAATACCCGAAGTATTAATCAATAGTTATTGTTTTATTTTTTTAAGATAACAAAGTTTTCACCGTAAAATTACTTCTTTACCATAGTGTAATTTGTATATGATTTATATAAAAAAAAACTTCACACACAATAATAACCATATATCGGATGGATTATTAATAATCCTTACAAGAAATAACGTTTTCACCGAAACCCAATATAACCTTTAAACTTGCATTTATTCTCAGAAAGATTAATTAGGTTGTTGGGTGTTTGTTTTTAAAAAGAAACAACAACAACAACAGAAAGATTTGGAAACAATTACGCTGGAAAATTTCAATAAAACAACCACTTTATCAGATTTGTGTAAAACCTACTTTGTTTTTTAAGCCTAACCTTTGTTGTTCTGCGCATTATCATAATTTTTTGCTAGTATTGATTGTTTGAAGACTTTGGTGTGTAATTCACTTAAACAGTTTTTTATTACGGATAAACCAGCTTCATTAGATACATCACATCATCTAAATTACAATGTTTGACAAAATACAACAACAAGATATCAAAAGTACAACATAATTACTCACACTTTTTTTGGTACATGGTTTACGACACAGATAAAAAAATCCAAATATTTATAGCGACTTTCTCAAACCATAGTGATGCGACAAAAAAAAGGAGAAAAAAATATATGTTTAAAGAAAAGGTAAATAAAGAGGCTACATCACGAAGTTATGAGTAAGTATGTACCAGTTTTAGCTAGTTTCCTTGTATATTTGGATTTTCAATAGTGAGTCATTGCCACGATAGGTTGGACAAATCTCCAATGAGCTTTACGAAGCTCCTACTATATGAAATAGTACTTATTGGTGATCAACTTACAGTGTTATGTTGTACTATGAAAAAATACATTTAGAACCGGTAGTGACGAAACATTTGTTTTGAGTGCATGTATAGCTATTTCAATCTGTGTTTTTGTAACGTCTTCAAACGTCTTTCTTCAAAAATCCTCTGAAAAGTTCTAGAGGAATGGGAAAAACAATGGTGGAATTCTTCTCCGTGGCGATGGAGCCCAGAGTCTGAAGATAACGGAGCTGGAGAGCAGATGAGTCAGCAATTACTTCCGAGGCTTCCTTCAATGCTCGTGAGGCCCTCTGCTCTCCTTCTGCTGCGATTACCTTCAAAATACAAAATGTAACAAGTCACATAAAAAGGAAAAAAACAGTCAAAATCCTAGCACTCTCGGCAGGATTACCTGTCTAATTTTTATCCCTGAAAAAGATAACACTTTTGAACCTACGTTTTCTTTTAGTTGTAGTCACTGTACTATAGTGTTTCTCTCTCGTGACAACTATTTAAACAAACAAGCAAAGTACCACGTTTTGATATGTACACATAAAACAAAGTGACTGTAAACACAAAAATCTAATGATAGGCCTAAGCCATTCTTTAAATTTATTTGACTCCAAGTCGCTAAGTGACAACTGCTTAGTACTTTTGCCGTTACATGAAAACTTTATATAAAAAGGATTTATTCAGAAAAACACCTCCTTAACCGTAAAAAAAGCTTTGGGATAAATATTTTAAGTGAATAACAGCATTTTGAGACAAGTGTCAAACATTTCTGGTGCAATAAATAATAGTACTTTGTCCATACAGCATTCGTTGTTCAAAATAAAGGAACTTCATTAACAGTAAACAACACTAAAGTAAGATATCTGAGGAAATTCACTACAAATCTTTCACATTAAGCAGCGAAAAAAAATGTTTATGTAACTAGTAGATCATTCATGTAACGTTTTATTTACGTATAATTTAATTACAATTAAATATAATAACTTATAATTTAATTACAATTAAATATAATAAATTATAATTTAATATAAGCATATTATGTATAAAACTCGAGACAAATAATGAACTGTTTGCATAGTTTTATCAAGTCCTGGGCCTACTGTTTACAGCTGACAACACTCCGTAGACTACAAACATTAAAACAACAAATGAGAGACGAGCCAGTGAATGACAATTTACTTACTAGGAATAATAACGGTGGAAGACTTTCAACAGCTGGATACAACTTAAAATTTACCAGCGATAGTTGAACAGCATGGATTTAATACAATCTTAAAATTGTTCTAAAATGTAGTTTTTGAAATAACTGTTTTAATTGTACGAAAGTCCTGAACTGCAAGGTGAAAAATAAAAATATAAAGTTCTCATCTCGTACGTACGAGACAATAAGTCATACGTACGAGATAAGACCTATATATTTTCACTTTCACCTTGCCGTTCAGGTCTTCCATATAATTCAACTGAAAATTCTTACCTTAGCGCGAGCTTCCCGAGTTGCTTCAGCTTCAGCGGCCATTGCTCTCTGCAGTTGGACAGGTAAACGTACGTCTTTTCTATACAAGTAAAAAAATACATTATCATAGTAAATTACATGCATGGTTTAATTTGAATATTAATAATGTTTTCATTTCAATTTTCACTACTTAAAAGCAAGTTGAAGCACATTATTTCTAACCAGTGACGTAATAATACGGTCTGTTTAACTGTTCTAAGCTAGGATATTTGCTGTAACAAATGGCCATCTTTATAAATAATATTCCGACCAGTAAGTACCGTGTTCATTATATCCCGGCCGGTCTGAAGAGCTCTGGATTGAGCGAAACGCTTCGTCGGAAATAGATATAACAAATATAGTGTGGTAGGATTACTGTTATTATACACTCTTCTAATTCTTGAAAATCCCTAAAAGACTAGGTTAATAAAGTAGTGTTAAAAATATAATAGGCCTAACAGAACGTCTTATGACATGTATAATTGATTATAAATCTACAGACTGGCTCGCCGACAACCAGGCAAAATCCCGGTAAACCGCCCGAGAACTAGAGCAGTGGTGCCTCCTGAAATTTTATAATTTACCGATTTATAACTTCTAAACCCGTGTTCATAAATTAAAACTAGTGTATTTTATCTCTCTCGAATGACAAAATTGATGTAGAACTCTATAATAAACACTGGATACATTAGACCTATAATATACAGCCAGTATTTATACTTTCTTCTTGCAACCCTTGCCACAAGTAAATATAAAACACATTCACTGTTTCTTCAGAAAAGTGTTTTAAATGGCTAAACACATTGCGTTCTGTAAACCACTAGTCTGTTTTTAGAGCTTTGATTATTCAATAAACGGGAATTCTCAGTAACTTTCTACGCAAAGTCTTTGTGTAGATCTGTCCATGCATGGCTGAACACGACTACATGCTGCATAGGCGTACATACAAGTTACAGCATCATACTTTTCTCCTGACTATTACCTCATTATGTTATATTCTGTATAAAACTCGAGACAACTAATGAACTGTTTGCATAGTTTTATCAAGTCCTGGGCCTACTATTTACAACTGACAACACTCTGTAGACTACAAACATTAAAACAACAAATGAGAGACGAGCCAGTGAATGATAAAAGTACAAATATTTTAAAATGACAAAGTTTCAGGAGATTCCAAAGGTCATTTGAAATATTGAATCTGCATTTGCCGTTCAAAGTGACCAGTTGAATAATAATGAAGAATCCTCGGGAAGTGGAGCTTTGAGTAAATGACTATACTAAAGCTTAGTTTTGGTTATATAGATGTCAATTTGATCACATTAATATTTTGTAACAAGAGGGAATTCTCAATAGCCGTGGCACATAGAATTCTTTTAGGCAGGATTAGAGTAAATTAATCTGTGAGACCTTTTTTTTCCCCCTTTTTATTAACTACTAACTGGAGTACCCGTAATCTGGACGGAAAGTTATGTAAATTCATGATTAATGAAAGGTAATCTTAGACATGTAAATTTGCTTCCCTTATATGTAATTGTAATAAACGCAAAAACGCTCATAAAAACTGCAAAACTCAAAACGTAAAACCGCAAATTTGCATGTACCTCTTCATGGACCCAACAAACCTTCATGCAAAACTGAACATTTGTACGTACCCCCGCATGGACCTAATGAACCTCCATACCAATTTTCGTGAAGATCCATCCAAACTCTGCGAAGTAGTTACATGGACATACAACAGTTTGTTTGTTTATAGTTAAGCACAAAGCTACACAAAAGGCTATCTGTACTCTGCCCATCACGGGTATCGAAACCCGGTTTCTAGCATTGTAAGACCGCAGACATGCCGCTGTGCCACTGGGGGCGCATACAACAGACAGTACTATTATATTTATATAGATAATTTTTCTACGCCAGCAACACTAAGCGTGGGGCGCGCGTATACCCAATTATATACAGTGCCTTGCAAAAGTCTTCACCCTCCTGTGCTGGTAATACATTTTAGGCATTTTCTTGTGAAAGACATAACTCGATTGGCCAAAAAGTTTTATTATATTAATCTCAGACTAGTTTCTAAAGATTACAAAGAACAAAAGGTGCATTGTTACCGAATTTAGTGATATATTACATAAAAAGAGTTGACGGAGCTATGAACTAATAGTTTGTACTTGAAGAAAAACCTCAGAGCCATTCTATGAGCCGCTATGCCGCGGCTAATAATAAATTAATAACGCTAGTCTAGTTTTGCTCATATTCATGTTTATTATAGGCCTCCCTGATAAACCAATGTTTTTTTTTTCCCCACGAAAATAAAAAATTGTTAGCTACAAGAATCAGTATCATGCGAAACATGTAGGTCTTGAAGCTGTATAATGATGCACTGTTATAAACTCAACTTACAACTGTTATATTAGGATTAATGAGTTTGTCGTGCCTGGCAAGCTGATATTTGGCGAATCTCGCCAAGAATGATAAGACTGAACAACTTATCTCTAGTTTTGTATTTCAACTGGAAAATTATTATATTATCAATACTTTGCTTATAAATAATCATTCTGCACACAAGTTGACCAGTAGGATGCTTAACAGATCCTCATATAACAAGCTGAATGTCTGGGGTTGATTACCAATGATTGGTCATAATATTCGAAGATTTGAAACCGTCACGCGAGGAAATCAATAAGCACAAAACAGTCTCGTGTTTGTATAATTTATTTTTAGTTTTTTAATACCAATATATTTCATATATGCTCATGTATTATGTACAGTAATATATACTTTCAACAATTAAAATCATATCATGATAAATGTCATTTTAGATATTTTTAAAATAAATGAATTTTTGTGGCGCGCCCGCATTTGATCAGTAGTTCTAAAACACTTTGGACCCTATGCTAAGTGGCACGATGACCTGATAACCAGTCTAGTGGGTCAGTAAAGGTCTGGTTGATAATGACACTGTTATGGCATATTGTATGTCAGTGACGACGGCGAATTTTACTTAACATCGGCAAAGTTTGCTAATGACATTTAGCGAAATTTGCTAAGTACAATAAGTCAGATTACTGTTATAAGAATGATGTGTAAATTATTCCTACATTATAATATCACAAATTTGATTTTTTACAAGATACAAGGACATTATCACAGCTATTAATCTATTTGATAGAGAGAACTATAAAAATCACTTCCCACATTGAACATTTCAAAGGAATCAACGGGTTACACAAACAACTGACCACAAAGAAACTCTTGAAACCACGCGACCCGTTTGTTCGTGCAAAGATGATCATGATACAGCAACAGCTGGCACATACAGAGAAACTGAAACACAGAAGTGAGAAATATGACACAGAGACAGGAGCAGGCGACTCTCGTGAAAGTGAAATCTCTGATGATGTGAACATATTTTCTAAATCATCAAGTGACGACATACACAGAAAATTTTTTGACCGACAACTTGAAAATAATCCATTTGACCTGGATATGTACTACCAAAAAACAGTTCATGGTAAATCAATTAAGAGACAATGGCTCTCTTTTTCAAATCAGCAACAGAACCTTTCTTGCACTACTTGCCTATGTTTTTCAAGTAGTAAAACCAGGTCTTTATTTGTGCGTGGATGCAATGACTGGCCCCATGTTGATCAACGTATAGGAGAGCATGATGGATCTAATGAACACATGCAAATTTGTGAAGTGCATGTGACGAATATGAAAGGTGGAAACATTTTGTCCTATGTACGTGACATGCTGCCTAATAGATGAAAACTTGAAATGCAGGAGAATCATAAAATTGTTGATAGAATTATTGCTGTTATTAGGGTTATTGGAAAGCTTAATCTTCGATTTAGAGGACACAGAGGTGAAGCTGCACACGAGCTGGAGAAAGATAATATATATCACGGTGTTTTCTTGGAACTGATAAATCTTCTGAGTCAGTATGACATGTCACTTTCAAAGAATTTGATCATGGTATCCGCTAACTCCAAGGAACCCAAAATGCTACTGGAAGAGGTGCTTCAGTTACTTTCATCAGTAAAGCAACAGTCAACAAGCTTCTTGTGATAATGAAGAATCCAGAACGTTATATTAGATGGAGTTAGAAATATTGGTATGTGCTCAGTACAGATAGATTCCATACAAGACATCACTACAGCTGATCAGTGTGCTGTAATAGTCCGGTATGCGCTTGGTGGGAAAGCAACTGAAAAGCTACTTGCTCGCATTCCTTTCCACAACCACAGTGGTAGTGGACAAGGATTGCTCGATCAGGTAAGAAGAGTATTTGGAGATTACAACATTGATATCAACACGAGCGTTTTAAACAGTACAGATAGAGCAGCAGCAGCTTGTCATGGGCACTACAGTGGCTTTGAGGTAAAGCTCTCTTCTGTCGTGAATACAGTGGCTTTCAAGTAAAGCTCTCTTCTGTCGTGAATACAGTGGCTTTCAGGTAAAGCTCTCTTCTGTCGTAAATACAGTGGCTTTCAGGTAAAGCTCTCTTCTGTCGTGGATACAAATGTTCATGTGTGATGCTATGCACATGCACTCAACTTAGTTGCGACAGATTAAACAAAGGTAAGTGTTGCAGCAATATAATAATTCAATCTGTTGCAAAAAGCCGCAAATTTCTTCGAAGTTTCTACACGCAAATAGATATCTGAAAAAAGGAAGTTGAGAGCAAATTAGAGGCAGACAAGTTTAAGAGAATTTTACCGATAAGTGAGACACATTGGTCAGGAAAATCAAGTGCAGTATCAACTATGTTCAGGATATCTACAGACCACTCCAAAGCTGTTTTTCCAGATCTGATCAAGTGTCTGGTTATATTGTAGCACTTAAAGTCACATGATGCTGCCACGAAAACTGAGGCTATAGGGACACTGGAGGGCTTTCTGAAGTATGGAACAATTTTGACCACTCATACCTTCATGTCCATATTTCTTCATATCACACCTGTATCAGAATACCTTCAAACAAGAGGATTTGATTTAGTTCAGGCTTGGAGACAAATGCAGTTCAACTGAAAGCACTAAGGTACGACATGCAAAGCATTGTAGCTAGAGCAGACGAATTTGTGAGACAAATGAATGAAATTTTGTGCAACATTGATTGGTCAAATCTGTTAGATGTTGAAGAATGTGATGTAGTTAAGGTGTCAGCTGAATATCCTGTCAAAAAGAAGAAAAAGCGAAAAGTTGAGTCTGATGAAACAAGATCCTCGGAAGGTGATACAATTACATCACCTATGACCACATACAAGATTGATACTTTCAATGTGGTATTTGATCAAGCAATAGGGAGTCTGACGAGACGATTTGCAGACCATGGTCAGCTGTATGCTGACATGCAGTGATTTGATCCAAAGAGTTTTGTCGACATAAAGAAAAAAGGGCCTGCCTGCTGAATCACCGAATGCCATGTCTAGATCTTACAAAAGTAAGGTCTGAACTAGTACATTTTGCAAGCGTGTATCTGAAGCTAAAACAAAGTTTAGAGGACCAGTACATTGCCTTGGAAGAGATGCTGGTTGATGGAGGTGATACCGATGATGCATCTGAGGCTGACCACAGAGTAGAATACGAGGACGTTACTTTATGCAAAACTTTCTAGAGGTGCAAATGGTGTTTAATGTGTGATTTTTAGTTGCTTGAGAACTACATACTACATACAAGAGCATATGACAACTTACATAAAGTGTATCACTTTCTTCGGACACTTTCCATCACTCAAGTGCACTGTGAGAGATGTTTCTCGAAGCTGAAGATAATAAAAACAAAACCGTTGACAGCCGAGCATCTCATAAGCACTGAAACCAGCATTCTAGCTGAGACAACAACAGTTAAAACTTAGACATGCTCAGAAAATCATCTAATGAACTCAAACGATTGCTGGTGTATTGAATTCAGATTTTGTTAATGTACACAAACATTGGGCACTTCATGTATTTTTTAATGTACGTGTTATGCATATATAGAATGAGAACATGCTAATATCTAAAGTACACACGTATTTTCATTTTTATACACATCAGATTTCTGTGAGGAACTATACTTTTACACGAGTTTCGTATACCAGTAAACATGCTAATATCATAAGTGTTTACTATATTAAGTTAAGAGTTAAGGACTGTCTTTAAGATAAACTTATTCTGGAAATAGTTTCATTTCTTCTTTGCGAGTTATGGATTCTTCACTGGTAGTCTGATAATAAGGAAGCCTAATTAACAATGTAATTTGATATACTTCACAAAAATGATCAGGTCACCAGTGGAGTGCCCGTAATAAGCCTTTGCCACTGATTATAATCATGCTTTTTTTCTTTGTTTTGAATTAAGCACAAAGCTACTCAATGGGCTATCTGTGCTCTGCCCACCACGGGTATCGAAACTCGGTTTCTATTGTTGTATATATACACGCTTGATCAGCTTGTGAAAGGCGTTTACTCCATAGTAATATTACTTACTAACATAAGATTCTTCAAAGACCCTCGATCATCCTTTTGGATATTGCATACTTTTTGAACATTTTGAGTGTAAGAGTATCATGAGAGATGGAACATTTGTAACTTTGATCACAAGTTTACAATATTATTTCATCAGTCATACTTCCCTATTTTTCCCCTATACATATATCCAGCAGAAAATGGAAAATTAATTCAAGGTGCAAGTTTTTTTTTTTTAAACTTTATACATTGTTTACACAGTAATAAGTTAAGTCTCAAGAATTATTTCATTATATATATTTTATGAATAATCCTCTAACACATTATATCATGCAATTTACATTGGATTAAAAATCAGAATGTTACATTTCTACGCGTTCCACTTTCACTCCCCAAGGGTCAGTAGCTTCATCCAAACTGGCCTGCATCACGTGGCTAATGCTTTCTCTTTCGGAGAGAATTTCCGAGAGATTTTTGGTTCCCAGAACATTCCTGAGAGTGGTTGCTGCTAGGAGACGTGTTGAGTGGCCATAATCTTCCACGTTGGAGATGGCAATGGTAGCATTACTGATCCGGTAGTAAACCACGGCGTCGACGGCCACAGTTACGGAGTCTCTGGACAGAATCTAGAAAGGATCACTTGTATAGTAGCTTTCGTAAGGAGAACAAGCATGCACATTTTTATCATGTAATATACGTTATCATAGGCGCCAACTTTTCCAAATGATTGTGGGTGATGGGTGCACAGTAAAAACAACAAACGTTGTAGTTTGTTTTGAATTTCGCGCCAAGCTACACAAGAGATATATTCGCTAATCGTTCATAATTTAGCAGTGACAAACCAGAGGGAAGGCAGCTAGTCACCACCACCCACCGCCAACTCTTGGGCTACTCTTTTGAAAACTAATAGTGGGATTTACCGTCACATTATAACGCCCCCACGGCTAAAAGAGGGAGCATGTTTGGCGGGACGGGGATTCGAACCCGCAAATTACGAGTCGAGCGCCCTAACCACCTGGCCATCCTAGGCTAACAATAAAGAATAAACATTATTTACCTTCATCCTTGTGTAATAGTAAAGGTGTCCATTAATTACCTTCATCCCTGTGTCATGGTAAACAGTGTACAATACTTACCTTCATCCCTGTGTCATGGTAAAAGTGTCGATTATTTACCTTCATCCTTGTGTAATGGTAAAAGTGTACATTATTTACCTTCATACTTGTATCATGGTAAAAGTGTCCATTATTTACCTTCATCCTTGTGTAATGGTAAAGTTGTCCATTATTTACCTTCATCCTTGTGTCGTGGTAAAAGTGTACAATGCTTACCTTCATCCTTGTGTCGTGGTAAAAGTGTACAATGCTTACCTGCATCCTTGTGTCGTGGTAAAAGTGTCCATTATTTACGTTCATCCTTGTGTAATGGTAAAGGTGTACATTATTTACCTGCATCATTGTGTCGTGGTAAAAGTGTACATTATTTACCTTCATCCTTTTGTCATGGTAAACAGTGTACAATACTTACCTTCATCCTTGTGTCGTGGTAAGTGTACATTATTTACCTTCATCCTTGTGTCATGGTAAAAGTGTACATTATTTACCTTCATCTACTAACGAAGTCATTTACAAGTGCTTCAAAGATCACTGAATCTGATTCTCTATGAATATATAGCATAGCAACGTTATTTTTCATTAAATTGGTCTGCACAGTGTTCGTCAGCCTTTCATCAATATATTTTTGTGTGCGCTAAAGCCCCAGCTTTCGCGTAGCTGGCGCTTATGTACGTACCTACAGAGTAACAAGTTTGGTTGGACGGGGATTCGAACCTGCGACCCTCAGATTGCGAGTCGAGCACCCTAACCACCTGGCCATGTTTAGCATAAAGACAACTGGTGATCTTTTTTTTACGGAATCAGTAAATTTTGTTTGAAGCATTATACTATTCCTAATTATTATTATTATTATTACTACTACTCGTTTTTCCATATAAAATGGGACATACAAACTTATAATTAGTCACTGTATAAAGATAGTTTATCAAATAGATTAGTATTGCTTGAATGCACATTTATTAGAATTGTTTTACGACGATGTTGATTAGTTTGGGAATGGATTTTTATTTTAAGTTCTTAGAAGAACATACTTTACATATATATTATTCCTTGTCAAATCTCCCGTTTCATCGCGAGAAAAAAGCTATATGCCTAATTATTAATTTATTCTGTATTATCTGGGAGAGGTAATATGCGAACCAAAAATAGTGATTGATTGAGATGGCATGACAAACCAGGGACCTGTTATGAATTTGCGTGACATAGAATTGCAAGTACCGAATTTTTTTCTATTACTAAACATCGTACAATAATCAATTCAATTGAATTTGTTCTTCCAACTAATATTTTTGCTATGAACGTCGGAGAAAAAAAGCTCCTGCATTGATCTGACTTTGATCGCAATACACAATCCGAGTATGAAAACGTGTTATATTCTGAAAATGTTAAACAACGAGTGAAATCTAAACGTAGAATTGCTTAACAATAGCTCTTTTTTGTTCAGTTGTCTGAACAAAGAAATGTTCTGTCTAGTTTCACATTTAATGTAAAAACGTAATCAGAGCTATAAGCGTTTGTAAATTAGAGTTAATCGCAGTATAGATTTTTTTTTTCTAAAGTATGTCATATTCACTTAAAACAGTCACTTTTTGGAATTCCGGATCTCGCCACTCGCCTAAAATTTATAAACCTATTACACCTTTACAGTCATAGTGCATTAACCACGGATATCTCGTGGTGGTGGTTAATGAAAAATTTCACGTGGCTTTTAATAGTCACTTGCATAGCTCTCGGTTCTTATTATATAAACTGAAGTGTAGCCACTTATCATTCAACCAAAGATCTTTATATGTTCCCTTTTGACTTAAGTTGATTTTATTCTTACACACTTTTTGAGGAAGGTTTTAAGGCTTTCGCTGAATTGATATTTTAAGTTCCAACAGAGTAACGACTTTTGTTGTTTTCTATTATTGGTGAGGAATTGAATCGCTGACGTCATTTCACTTGTTTTCATTCATACTGGTGCCCTAGGTCCCCCCCCCCCCAAATAAAAATACAGGCCATATTTGATTATACAATATATATATAATATTGCCTGCTAAAATGCAAGCTCGCGGACAAAGGAAACTATTTAAAATATCAACGACAATTACATTTGAAAAGTCGTGTTCGTCACTTATACTATTATAATTTTTTAAATATAAGTTCAATATTCAAATTGTATAGGTCTGAATGTAAGAAAAGATGTCGATATTTTTGTTTAGTTTTGTGCAAAACTTTCTTACTAATCTATTTAGTGTAAGGGATTTTTCAACAAAAAACGAAATTATATAAATAAAATGACCCGTCAAAACCAAAACTACAGTTAGGGTGCACATAGGAAAAAATTAGGGAAAGAGCTGAAGCGATATTTCATTAAGTGTAGTACCATTTTAGTTTGTCCATACAAACGACCCATTGTCAGTTCCCAGTGAGTGTGTTTCGCGGACTGGTGTCTTGTTGATCTGTCGCATATAAATGTACGTGTTTCCCTTGCAAATTCCACAATCATTATTATCAATTTGTTTGAATCTTTTTTTGACATTTTATTGTTTAAGTATTTACACTTTGTTTGCAGTGTTATTACGTTGTTCCTAGTGTGTGTAGGGCTGGACAGCTTCTTATACTGAATATATGTAGCATTACATTTTGATTTTTGGAAGCCCTATAAATTTTCTTTTGTAAAGGCATATTCCAAAAACAAATAATAGCAATCTAATGGCTATGTGCACGTCAAATGAACAAGTTTTTATGTAATTTAAAAAGTTCTAATCTGAAATAATCGGATCAGTGTTTAAAATCTTACAAGGGGGTGGTAAGTTAGTAAGGGATGAGACTGAATATTCATAGGGGGCCCCCACGGAACCTCATCAAAGTTAGTCTGGGAGACTATGGAATCAAAGCTTTGATCTTAGATCTTTGACTAGAAGAATCATAGACGTTATCCATAGAAGTTATCTTATTAACGGGTAGAGGAGTATTTATCTGGTAAGACTGCCTTTAGATAAAGATTAATTACATCTTTGGTAGAGAAATATCCAACAGTTGTTTAATTTATTTTATATATAGACATACAGAGAAAAACAATTCAGCCATAGTCGTATTTGTTGTCTGTTTTAAGCGCAAAGCTACACAATGGGCACATCTGCGATATACAGTCGTATTCATAGTGCATCAAAGCCCTTCTTTTACTGTTAGAATATGGCTAATCATGGTTAGTATTTTCGGTTTGTGTTGAATTTCGCGCAAAGCTACACGAGGACTATCTGCACTAGTCGTCCCTAATGTGACAGTGAAAGACTAGAGGGAAGGCAGCTAACTCTTGGGTAACTCTTTTACCAATAAATAGTGGAATTGACCGTCACATTATAACACCCCCACGGCTGAAAGGGCGAGCATGTTTGGTGGGCCACCGTGGTAAGTAATTAATATCCTTTTCAAAAATTAGAAGTGTATAACAATAGCATAGTGGAATTGAAATACTATTATTATACACTGTTCTAACTCTTGAAAATCCCCAAAGGGACTAGATTAAAAGAGTAGTGTTACAAAATATAATAGCTTAACATAATGTCAAATGACAAATATAATTCATTAACAGCTCAGTCAATTGGTTTATGTTAGGTATACAAGACTGTTCAGTTTAAGAATTATTATTTAGTTTATTTAGTAATCTAATATTTAATATTTATTTAGTTTTCATAACAAGAGGGTTAAAAGTTAATTATTTTAAAAGCAATAGTTTCGTTAAGTAACTCTGTACGAGTCGTATGTTGTGTACGGAATGTAATTGTTCTTCTAGGCTTTTGTAATATTGTTGCCATCTTATTCGAAGCTTCTAAGTTTTCTCGTTAGGTGTTATAATGTTGTTACTAGAGGGCTAGATATTTCTAGGTTTTCTGTCCTGTGTTATAAATATGTGCAGATACGTAGAGGAAGTAAGTTAGTGAAAGTAAAAGTGAAAAAAAGAGAGGTTAGACTGCGTGATTGTGCGTTTAGCCATAAAGAGCATATCAAAGTGAATATCACAGTCAACTATTTAAAGCTCTAGATACAACTGTGATAACTCAAGGGGTAACGTAAGCGAATTATCACAGTATTGTATTGTAATAACAGAGGAGGGAAGAAATAATTCGTCGTATCAATTGGGTTCTAAAGTAATTGAACCAGCCTGTGTGGACTTTTAACGAAAAAGAGAATTATTTAAAGCTCTAGATTCAACTGTGGTATTTAATAGTGTAACGAATTTTTGTAAATACGTTTGACTTGTTTTTAATATATAATTTTAAAACAAGTGGATTTTGTGCTCTCCGTTTAGCGTTGAAATCGCAGACACCTACTGTAAAGAATCCCGGCTCTATACAATCTTCACAGTTTACTCGTATATCTCGTGGCATTTGATTAATAAAAGTGATACACCTTTTAAACCACAGTTATTTATTAATACAAAACAAAGATATTTTGCTATATGTTTTGACAAAATATCCTTGTTTTGCGATAATAAGTAATTGTGGATTAAAAGGTGTATCACTTTTATCAAGCAACGTTGAAATTATCCACCTTCTGTTTGGAATATTTCTTAATCATTGTTGATATTTTTCATATTAGTCTTGCACAGGTTTATCGACGAAGAGCATTGTCCCCCGAAATAAAGGTCATTATGGTCAACCTATCGAAAATATATATTGTAAAACCTAGTCTGTTAACATTTGGAAATTATCTTTGTATTGATATCAGGGATAACGAAATAATATATGATGAATATTAAGAAATATGTACACTTAACATCTTATTCATCCGCAAGATGAATACATCCCTGGATATAGGGTAATATTATGAAAACAAAGGGTTTGTTGCACTTTATCAATACATTGGGTATCGTGGCAGACGTACCAGCGGCATATTTGCACATCCATGTTATAGGCCTTTTCAAGGAAAAATATTCATACAGCGATCGTTAAACGATGTACACTGTCGAATTAAATGTGTCAGGTTAAAATACAAAGTAAAACATGACACTTTTGTCACTTTTTAAAACACTTCTTGCTTTAAGATATCTAATATGCTTTTGGTTTCAGATATTCGAAAGGTTTCAGTATAAACTATTTCATGTCTCAAGTCTAAACGTCAATGTCCAGCTAAGACTTAATTAAACACTTCACGTTCATAGTACCTTTTCTGCAAAATACGATTCTTTTTTTTTATTCCCGCAAACCTGAAATCAACTGAGGTATAGAATTTATGTCTATCATTATAACACACACAAACCCTCGTTTCCATTTAGGATTCATCATTGCGTTTTGACACAGCAAGGACAAAATGTCGCTTGTCTTTTAAATATGCTGCAGGTTGCAATAAAACACACAAGGTAAAGCAATTGATATTATAATACATGTACTAGCAGAAACCCGCAAAACATTTCCGGCCAAATTAGTATCTTTATCGTAACAGTACTTCTTTAAATATAATATTTTTAGCACAATACAAACGAAATGTAAATTCACTTGTATATAGGCCGTACTTTATAAAACTTTAACTTATGTTAGGCCTAAGTTCGATAAAGAGATAAATTAACACTGTAACCTGTGTACGTTTTTTTAGTTTAGTTAGGACTAAATTT